CAAGTTTCTTTATTTTAAATATAACAATGTATGCTGCATACCAAAGACATGAGCAACACTTTCATTAAAGTGAGACAGACAGCAGGTCTCTGACCACAAATTCAAAACAAAGTTTTCTTTTTAAAAGAACTTAATAAAATGTAATACAAAAGCACTGACTTGTAGGTTTTGTGTGAATATATTTAAAATTTGATAGGGCCTATTTTAAAATTACAAATATTTTACAGAACTTGTTCTACCTGGTAGGTGAAAAGCATAAAAGTGAGGTCTAAAACAAGAAAAAAAAAAGCAATAAAAAAGCAAATACCAGACTAGCAGGAAGGAAAAATACCTGCATGTTTAATATTACTGACAAAAAGGATATTCCAAGACCTGTTTTTAATAAAAATAGCTTATCTCAAATATTTAATTAAGATGCTCTCCAGTCAATAGAAAATGGAAAAAACTGCATGATAACATCCACTTAAAAAAAATATTTTTATATATGTAGTCTATTTAGTTTTAAAAAATCATTAAAAATTCAAGACAGCAATGTGGAGACAGTGTTCCCACAGGAGAATGGATATTTGGTACATGAACTCTGAATAACCCCGAAAGATACATCAAGGCTATGAGAGGCCCGAGGAAGCTTAAGCAAGCAAGATAAGAAGAAGATGGAATTTACTGAGTTGTGAAATCATGGACTGTTGGCAAACTTTCGAGGTCAAGTTCTCATACTTGTGCTTGACCAATTATATGTTAGTTACTAGGGTTCTTAAGGATATATATCCAATCATAATGTGTCAGATCAGTGTGAGCAAATGTATATAAGAAGTTAATGCTTTATAATAAACTGCTGTAGTCTGATCACACTGATCTTTGACTGAGTCCATTCCGCGGCACAGCAATATAGTTGACTGATGTGTTCTAAGAGGTACAGCTGGTTGGCTTTACAGAGGTGGGAGAGGTCAGCATTGCCTTTAGTGTGAGAATGGTGGTAGCATTATGGTCCTATTGCTCATAGATGCATATAAAGTTTCAAGAAGCTCCTTTTGTGGATTAGAAATCCTTGTACATATAAGATAGGAGGTTATTCCTGCTCCCAGCTATCAGGGGAGTGGAAATCCCAAAGAAAGGAACAACCCCAGCTCCTGCTGTTGTCCAGAAGACAAGAAGTCTTGGGTGGCACTGCTTTACTTTTGAGCCCATCATTACTATTTCATACCTTTACTGCATTTATTTATATTTCCAAGAGGTCTTTACCTTTTCAGAATCCTTGGGGGTCTTTAGAGGCTTTGATGCTCTCTGGAAAGTGTAAGAAGTGAAGAATATCAGAGACACTTTCCGTGCTCAGTGACAAGGCTCAGAGGTGGAGCCTCTCCCCTGCTTGACAGGGGTGGCCCTGACATGGAGACAAACCTGCTCAAAGCCTGTTGACAAGGCTTGTCCACTCTGGGGACATGCAGCTCTCTCTCAGGAGATCAGAATACCCACAGACCTCAACAGGGCGCCAAGCAATCTGCAGATATGCCCCAAGGACAGACCAGATGCTCCACACTCTGGTGCCATCTACCACATCTCCCATGAGATCCCACAACTAGCCCTCAGGTCTTCACAGACAAGACTTGTAGATAACCTTGTGTGAAAGCACCATATGAACATGACATACCAAGCTCTTACCTGGTAAAATTACAGCCACATGGTGCTTCAGGTCAGCAGCTGTTTTAGCACTCCCCTCCAAGCAAATCCATGTTGAATTGTCAGGATTTTAGGCATATATTTTACTCTGAGCAACAAGCTGCACCCACCCAGCAGGAAACTGGAGGCACCTGGTACTTTGTGAGATTCATCTCTACGTTTGGTCTTCTGAAACTCAAAACGTAGCTGTGAGCAGTAGAAGAAGCAATAGGAAGGTAGGACAACTGCAGAGTTTTAACGAGGACATGAGAAAAATACTCCTGAAACAGGCAGTGTTGCAGCTTTATGCTCTTCATGCTCTTTGGACTTGCATCAAAGCTATTGCATTAGTTTGGGTTGAAAACCAAAAGCTGTAGGTTAGACAAACCCCTGGTATTCACAGTCCCTGGGAAGATGGGCTGCAGTAAACTCACAAATGGGGTATCTTTTTCATGGCTCATATTATGAGCAAGCAGCAGCTGAAAGGCAGGAAGGCATCATTATCCAGGTGAAACCACCAGGGCCAGGTGCCATAGTAGAAAAAAAATCAAGAAAAGCTTTGTGAGCACAAGCCAAGATACAGCAATTCTTCCTATCCCACGGCTAATCCTCCCCTTTGTAAATGATATGAGAATTCCTGGTCCAGTGCAGTCCTTAGGAACTTCTACTCTCTAATGCTGCTCTGTAACTGCCATGGGCTGGAGGCCAGAGGCACCTGCTATGGCCCAGACAGGACTCCAGCGAGGTGAGACAGACCACAGGTACCAGTTTATTTAACAAGACACTGATCATGTTTGAGTTCACTCCAGTTTTATTCAGCCTGCTGCCATTGAGGGACGAGGATTTGCTGAGTCGGGAGGAGGGGAACAAAGCACAAAGCAGTGATTTGTTGGAGGTCAATGCACAAGGAAAGACTGGTGCTGCCAGGGGGGCTCACAGATGCCTGTTCCCTGCTCACACCAAGTCACCAACATGGCATTCCAGCGAAACCAGCGAACTGTGGATGTCCAAGCTCCTTCCACTGCTGATGAGACAGCTGAGGTTGCAGAACCCAACCACTGTTTCAGATTCCCTGAGAGGCAGAGCCTGGAGCAGCAGGGCAGGGGCCATCACCCGCAGGAGGAAAAGCAGCTGTGTCCAACCTGTGCCTACACTTCATGGAAGCCTAAAGCTCTCCTTCCTTGGGAAACTTCTCGGATCCTCACTGTCATGGTTTAAGCCCAGCTAGTAACTCAGAACCATGCAGCCACTCACTCACTCCCCCCCCCCCCCCCCCCCCCCCTTCATCCCCTGCTCCCGGAGGGATAGGAAGGAGAATGGAAAGAATGTAACTCCCACAGGTTGAGAAAAGAACAGTCCAGTAACTAAGGTATAACACAAACCACTACTGCTATTGATAATAATAATAATAAGGGAAATAACAAGGGAAGAGAATACAACCACTCACCATCTGCCGACTGATACCCATCCCGACCTGAGCAGTGATCTAGCCCTTCTGGGTAACTGCCCCCAGTTTATATATCCTGGGCATGATGTGCTGTGGTATGGAATACCCCTTTGTTTATTTTGGGTCAGGTGTCCTGTCTCTGCTTCCTCCTGGCTTCCCCTCCTCCCTGGCAGAGCATGAGACTCAGAAAGTCCTTGGTCAGAGTAAACACTGTTTAGCAACAACTGAAAACATTGGTGTTATCAGTGTTGTTCCCAGCCTGAAAATCAAAACCACAGAATTGCACCAGCTACTAAGAAGGAGAAAAATGACTGCTACTGCTGAACCCAGGACACTCATGCAACATTACAGGAGTATTTCTGGCTCTTCAGGGTCCAGGATGGCCTCCCAGGGGAGGACAGCCCATACACAGCAGTGTCTGCTCAAAAAGCCTGATGGCCTCAGTTCCAGATGTCTTGTTTTAGTGAGGTAAAAAATAAAGGTATGGTTTATTGTTTTTATTAAGGGCCATGCTGTGAGCACTTCTTACCTTGGCTGGAAACACAGTAAAAATCTTGTGTTTCTCTGTGTTCTAAGGTCTGCTTTGCGGAACAGGACAGAAATACAGATAAAAACAAGAGCATAGGAACTAGGTAACATGACAAAGGTGGCTCTCAGAACATCTGCAGGAATTGGTTTCAAGTGGGTCCCATTTGTTTAAAAGCTAAAGAAGTTTATTAATTATCTAGATGATTGAAGCAGATTTGTGAAGCTCCAGCTGGATTTTCTGCTGGCATTCAGCCTGCACACCTGTGTGTTTTATCAAGTACAGTGAGCAGACTGCAAATGCATCAGGTCCTTCCATTTGGATTCTGCCCTGAAATGCATCTTAACAAACAATACCCCCTCTCGAGTCTGGAAATGCCCCAGCATTCCCAGTACTACTTCAGACTTCAGGCAACCAGTGAGAAAAACAAAAACCAAACCACCAATGCAGCTTTTAATAGCCAGTGCAAGGACTTCTTGAGCCTGTGAAGGATTAGGAACGGTGCAGAGATAAACAGTCTTGGGTAGGGATACAAGAACCGGATGCACAGAGGCTCAGCTGTCCTCCTCCTCCTTGTCCCTTCCAGGTGATGGGACCTCAAAACCTGGTGACTGGTGGAAAACACCCACTCTGGCTGCCTGCTGGTGCCCCTGCTTCGCAGATGGAGGAAAGGGGCAGGTCTGAGGCACACCGAGGTGCACAGAGTGGGACAGCAGCATGGAGCAAGCTGTGAGAGCCTGCAGCTCTTTGAGACCCTGTCCTTGGGAAGCCATTGTCCTCCAGCTCTGGTGTCTGCACCTCCCACAGCATCTCCATGTCACCAGGCCAGAGAAAACTTCCTTCAAAGAAAACACAAAGCATGCAGCTGAAACACATTCACTTTAAGTTTATTTTTGCCTGAAATTATTTCACATCTCTTTTTACACAACTACAGAATGGTAGTAGTAAACTATTGGTAAAAGCAACAGTGCTAAGGAAAAATTTGGCTTAATTTTTCTTTTTTTTTTTCTTTCCATACTTAATCCTCATATAGTTTGGGATTTGAAGGGGGAAATAAACTGGCACACTACATGAGTTAAGAGTCAATTCCTATTTTCCTATTTCATTTATTTTTTTTTAAAAAAGGGAAAACCCCATGATTTGGGCAGGGTTGTCTATGCAGCAACAAAGGTTAAAAAAAAAGCAAAAGCAAAACCAAAACAATGAAACCCAAAAGCTTGGCTTCATTGATTAACTATATATTTATTTATATATAAAAAATTACATTGGCTGTATGTGAAACCTTGAGGTGCTGAAGAATAAAATAAAGGTGTTAAATAGGAAAAACATCTTTTTGTTTTGGTTTGTTTTTTAAATAAGCAGCTTTGTACAATGAAGGCTCATTATGAAAAAAAAGTCAACAGAGTAGATATAAAAGAAACCACAATTATTAAAAAAATCATCTTCTAAGCAATTGTGGAATTTGAAAAATATAGCAGTCACATTTACAGACACGTCAGAGCTATTGGATAAGCAACAACGCTATTTCTTCAGTCTCCCCAGACAAATGTGCAGAACAATGCATGCACAGAACAGGGAGGGGAACAGAATAAGCTGATGCACAATATGGAGAGAGAGCATTTTTTTCTCTTTCTGAAATGTTGGACATAAACAGAAAACAGCAGAGGCAACTCTTAAAATCTACAGAGTTAGGTGAATACCCCATTGGCAAAGTAAACAGCATCTTGCCCCTATCTCCCATGTTTAAACCTGACAAGGTTTAAAAGACTAAAGAAAGCTTTCAGGCTTCAGAAGGAAATGTGACTTTTATTAATCCCTGCACCCCTCCCCTAACAACCATACCCCTTGAGAGATATTTTCCTTCCTATTTGATAACAGTTGAGGCATTTTGAAATCAAAAAGACAATGCGATGAATGTCATGACAGAAAGGGTGTATAATACAGTATGTGTTATTGAGAGACAATTCTTCAAGGAGGACAATTTGTTTAAAAAAATATAAAATAAGACAGCAAAGTAGTTCATACAGTACTATATGAAAAAATGGGTAAAAGAAATAACAATTCATAAATAGAAGACAGGTCACAGACCTGTGAACCATTTTCTTAAATAGGTGCATTATGTAAATCTTATGTACAACAAAATTACTTTGCATAACAACTGCAAGGATACAGGGGAAAGTGAAAATCATATTGGTTTTGTTTTTTTCTCTTGAGATTTCTGTAAGTTGAATTTTCCAGAGCAAAACTGGTGACGGAGGAGTTTTGACTGGCTGGGTGCCAGCCAAGGAAAACCAGGGAAATAATGACAAATGAATTATTCTTTTTTTTTTTCTCCACATGGCATAAAACAAAAAGGCAAATAAAATTCAAAGGTGTTTTTTTCCTCTTTATAATCCTCTTGCTGCTGCAAAGTCTTTTTTTTTTTTTTCTTTCCAATATAAATTATGTGGATTCTGAAATCACAAAGCTGAAAGAATACAGCAGGGTTCAGGCTTGTCCCATCCCCCCCGACACACATACCAGCACTCCTCTCCCTCACAACCATGACTCCTGCCACCAAGTCCCAGGATTCACTGCTCTACAGGGATTAGCCAAAAGTTATTTTCCGGTTTGTTTTTCTCTGTTTGTCTTAAAAATCTTTTTCTTCCCATGAGAAGCAAAAGAGAAGAGTCAGAGGCAGGGAGAGTTCACCATGCTTCGGTGTAGCGGACATCCACTTCTTTCAGATTGGGTAGTTTTGCCTGTGCAGGAGGGTAGGAAAAGGGCAGAATCAATGACATGTTCAGGACTCGGGAAAAAAGTTCCTGTCAAATCCATACTATCAGCAACCTGGGAGAATTGATCTATTGGCCACAAACTGCAGGGAGATGCACTACACCCTCAGCCCTGCAGAGAACCAGTGCTGAGCTCAGCAGTGAGCTGGAGCATACAGGTGTTAATAAAGGGACACAGTGTGGAGCCTTCATTAAAAAAAAAAAATAATCTTTGTTGTTTATACAAAATACTTAGCAAAATTTGGCTTTAAGCATCCTGGTCTATTGGAAAGTGTCCCTGCCCATGGCAGGGGGTTGGAACTGGATGAGCTTTAATCACTTCCAACCCAAAACAGTCTGTAATTCTACAATTCCATGAAAATTAGGAAATTTGTTTGTCAAACTCCATCTATGAAGGCAGCGGACTCAAACTGCAGCAGACAACCTCCACATTCCTTCTTCAGCCTCCACACTCAGTCAGTGATTGACTTAAAAAAAAAATTGAGTGTTAGCAACTTCTGGTGTCTTTGTGGTCTCCTTTACGTAACTCCACTGCATTTGGACATATTGCTCCTGAATTACCCTGCGTGAGGCAGATGGCAATCGGCTGTTTGCAGTATTCCTACTCATCGATTCCATTTCTATGCTCTCTGACCATAATCATATGGCTAATTCTCTCAGAACAAATAAACATGTTTAATTAGGCTAGGGCATAATTGAGGAGTTAGGAGTTTCTAGGAGTCATTATTACCTCACTCCTTGATTTATGTGCATGCTTATTTTGATAAGAGCTAGTCATAATCTTACAGACACCACCAGCAAATAATTTTTCAGTTAGGCAATAATGACTTCAATAGTGAGTGTGAGTTTATTGTCTGGTTCAGCTGGCCTGGTACATATGTGGGTGTCTGTGTGTGTGCAAGTGTTTAGTGGGATGGGGGATGGAGCCGAAAGGAAATGTCATCACTGGCATGTGCCCCAAATGCTCTCGCAGACCAAGGGGAGAAGAAGGAGAGATTTTTATCAAAAACACATTCTTTGAAGTCTAAGCTGTTCCCAACAGACCTACAACCATGTGCCCCAGGGACACTATTACCCTCCTTTTGAACACACACAGAGCTCTAAAACAAATGGCCATTAAGATAAGTCTCAATTGAGAGGGGGGGAAAAAGTGACACATGCCCGTTTCCTCGGCTTTTTTAATTCTCTGCAATCATTGGGACTTTGCTCACAGCCAGTTTTGCTGTTTGCCCTGGCAAGTCACTTTCCTGTGTTGCTGCTAAGGACTGTTAATGCAATACCAGAGCAGAGGAAACCAGTTAGGAAAATATGAGTTTCAGTATGAACTTAGTGGCAAAGGGGCTCAGAAGCAGGGGTAGGACTGGGGGATCCTTTCAATAGATTTGATTTCAGAGCCCTGGGCCAAATACAGCATTGACCTTGGTTGTCTGTAAATACTTGAGGCCTGACACAAGCTCCATTGTGTGAACTCATCTGCAAGCCAGCTGTTAATTCCAAAGGTGACTTCTTTGCATATACAATTGTGACACAAGTTTTGAAAACTTGATCTTGAAAAATCCATGCTAGCAGCATTGCAACTGAGTCCCCAGGGGAGCTCCGGCTCCACAGCCAGAACCGGAGAGATGTTTGCAGTGAATTTTGAAAGCAGAGCAGCTTCAGGACTTGCCTCAAGTTTGAAACTCAACCCAAGGTTGTAAGCCTGGCACAATCTAAGGTTTCAGCACACAAGACAATATAATACTGAGTTTCATCTTGAGCCCTTGAGGTTATAAGGTTAAGACTTTGGGAGATGTGACTCACACAACTGTAGTGTGAAGACAAAGTCCATGTGAAGTCATGAAAGCCAATGCATCTCAGGCAGTCTTTGAAACCACCTGGACCGCTCCTCTCCCACAGCTACATCCTAGTGCTTTACACCATTTTACCAAAGCAGTTGTAAATTCACAGTATAAATCTCACATGACAAACTCGGGAACTGGGCATTAGCACAGGCATTCCTATTTTAAGCCCAATTCCAGCCCAAGAGGTGTCAAAGAGAAAATTGCTCCTTCCCCAATGCTTATAATTCTCCCTTGGCATTCTGAATCATGACTCTGTAATGCTGTTCAGACACATTACTTTTTGTCTTGTTAACAGTACAGGACACGGCTGTGGAGGTCTGCACTAGATTTTACCTGTCTCTGTATACTCATCAAAAACAACCAATATGCTCCTACTTAAGAAACCTTTACTGTTGATAGCACTGGCAAAAAGATTAAGTTTCTAATTCCATCTCATACTCATCTATTCAGCATATTAAATGTTTCCTGAGTCTATGTCCTGGGTTCAGCAGTAGCAGTCATTTTTCTCCCTCTTAGTAGCTGGTGCAATGCTGTGGTTTTGACTTTCAGCCTGAGAACAACACTGATAACACCGATGTTTTCAGTTGCTGCTCAATAATGTTTACTCTGACCAAGGACTTTCTGAGTTTCATGCTCTGCCAGGGAGGAGGGGAAGCCGGAAGGAAGCAGAGACAGGACACCTAACCCAAACTAACCAAAGAGGTATTCCATACCACAGCACATCATGCCCAGTATATAAACTGGGGGCAGTTACCTAGAAGGGCTAGATCACTGATCATTTTGGGCTGGGTATCGGTCAGAGGGTGGTGAGCAGTTGTATTCTCTTCCCTTGTTATTTCCCTTATAATTATTATTATTGGTGGCAGCAGTAGTGGTTTGTATTATGACTTAGCTACTGGACTGTTCTTATCTCAACCTGTGGGAGTTACATTCTTTTGATTCTTCCCCATCCCTCTGGGAGTGAGGGGAGGTGGGGGGGGGGGGAGTGAGCGAGCGGCTGTGTGGCCGAGTTGCTGGCTAGGCTTAAGCTACGACAGTCCATCAAAGCCAGCAACCTCACAATGCTGTTTTCAGTAATTATTTTCCCAATATAATCCAGTTCACCCTCTTCAGATGACTTTCATGCTACCTACTCCATGGAGCCAGCTCTCTCTGCCCTAGACACTACCACCATGCACTTGCTAAACCTGCAAGTCCTCCTGGACCACCTACTTTTCAGCTTTAGTGGATGCAATTCAGAAATACCTTGAGATCTTCGTAGGCATCTGCTGAAAGTTTGGTGCTGTTCATATTTAAACTACACAGGCTCTTCAAGGCTATAAGAGAAAACACATATATTTATCATCATGCTGCATTTTCTTAAAATATCAAGCTTACGGTAGGTCAAAGCATAAACAAGACATGACTGTGCAGTACACTCAGGAAAAAGCTGAATAGTGTAAAATATAGAAGTACAAATGGATAAACAGCCGTTTGGGCCCACATCCAGGAAAAAGTCCCTATTTAGGAAGGGCCATTAAGCATATGCTTAAGTCCACTGACTTCAAAGGAGTTTAGTCAACTCATAATCAGCTTCCTGCACATTATTCTGAATAGTGCCCGTTCTCAGTGCTCTGCATGGTGCACAGAGGGGCCATGCTGACCTAGCAGTCCTTCCTCTCCCCTCCCTCCCCCAGTTTCAATTTTAGGCTCCAGTACTTAGCAGAATAGTTTCCTAAGATGAGCCATAACTACTGGCCTGTCTGGCATGTCTGTGTAGGATCAAGCCTATTAAAGGAGCCCTGAAAATCCAGCAGGTGAGGTTTATAATACACTGTTGGATGCAGGAAAGGGTTTCATTCTGGCACGTTGAGCAGCTCTCAGTGCATGAGGGAATCCTGAATGCTGCTTAGATGGCTCCACTCTGCCTCACCCTATTTAAATTAAGAATAGCAAGTTTCACCTCCCAAAAAAAGAAGGACCAAAAAAATGCCAGAGAGGGTATGAAACCTGCTGCTCACAGTTGCTAAACTCACTAATATGTTGCTACAAGGTTTTGCAATCTTCCCCTCCTCCATCACAAGGTCAGACTCCCACCCAAGCAAGGGGACAGTGTGCATGAAAAAAAGCTGAGAAGTCCCAGGGCAACAGGTCACTATGTGAGATCAAGACAAGTGCCACTGGTAAAGTCAGAGGCAGAAGCCAGAGTACTGCCTGGGACAGCAAAGCCCACAGGAGGCCACTGAGCATCATCAGGCTCAGATCACCCTCCTGTTTCCCCTGCTTGCAGATTAACAGCCACTTGAGTGGGCAGGGAGGAGGGAAGCTTAAACCCAAACACAACCACAGCCTGTTCTAACTCCTTGCAGAAGCAGAGCTGTGGCAGCTGAGAAATCAATCTTCTTTCTGAACCCACGTGAATTCCTCTGAACCCATGTCATTTTGTTCTGTAGCTTATTTTGGTCACTTACAACTAAGTGCCAGCAGCCCAGCATCCGTGACAGGAGTCTCACAGAGGTTGAGCACTTGCAGCATCGTGAGGTGTTCAGAGAGAAGCCGCAGCCCTGCATCTCCAAACTGTGGGGCACAAACAGAGTTTTCAAACAATGCACAAATATCATGTGCAAGTAGCTCAGTGCAAACAGGGCACATTGAAATGAGATTCACAGATGAGCCCTCAAAGCCACACTTTGATTGTTTTCCATAATCTCTAATGACAGGAGAGAAAGCAAATAGTTTTATCCCCATTTTGCAGATGGGAAACAGAAAAATTAAGTGACTTGGGCACACTTAACAGCAGGCCACCATTTAATTAGAATGGTGCCTTTGAAGCCTGGACTTTGTATGAGAGCAGTCCTACTCAAGCTATACAAGATGGTTATGATGGTCTGGGCCAGTTCCAAACCACATCACAAAACAAGAGCATAATGTAAGCGGGATTAATTAGCTATGTTGGTCTCAAGAACAATGTACTATTGGTTGGTAATTGTTCTATTGACCCACTTAGTTTCTGCTGTTTCTAAATTCTAGATTAATGGAAACCAGGATATCACAAAATAAATGGAATCTAAACTGTCTTCTTTTTTTTTTTTAATACTAAAGAAAAAAAAGATTATAAAAAAGCAGACTCTTTGTCCAGTGAAATCAAACTCATTTTGAGCAAGAAGCATAAAAGTTTTCAAATACAAAAGTTACATTGTTAGAACAAATCTGGAAGATATACAAGACAGTCTTAAAACAAGCAAGCAAACAGATTGTACTTCATATTCCCCACACAAAAAGAGGAATTTTTTAGAATACAAAAGTAGTTAGGGAAACAAAACAAGATTATTTACATGACATTTGAGTGGGAAAAAAAAATGCTGCTTTTTGTGGTTGTGCTGAGAATAAACATATTTTCAGCGAGCACTACAAACAGGTGCTAACAGAAAACGGGGAAAACCTGTTCAGTGGAGAACCTCAGAGACCAAAACCAGCAGGGAAATGTAGAAAAAAATTTAATTTTAAAAGCTCTTTCAATTAACAACTGAACAATTTATTCAGTTAACTTGGCTTCTTTTTGCTTAGAAAACAACCCCATTCTCATTATAGTTTCCTTCTACTTATTCATTGTTTGAGTTTCTTTTTGTTGCTGTTGTTTTTAAAGAAATTCTGGTTGATCAGCATTCAGAGCAATTCACTGCCTGCACTGCACAGACTCTGTGTTTTACTTGACCAGATGAGCTGCACAGGTCCATTTTTTTCATCCCAAATGGGTGAAAGCATAAGCACTTCTCAGACAAACAGCAGCACGTGTACTGCAGAGTACACAGTATCAACAGTGCCTAATTGGAACATTCAAGCCAAGCAGCAACTCTTTCATAATTATAAATAAAATTAAAAAAATAAAAAAAAAAGATAGAAAAGAAAAATCAGCCTCCAAGATGAGCTAGACCATAGAAAGGCCCTGTAAAAATAGCACAAAACCAAACTCATTCTAAGCAAGCCTCTTCACACACTCTTCTTGTGCTGATGTAATGTGAAATTTCAGAATTAGTTATCTAATTCTTGCTCCAAGTTTCAGTCCGCAAAGCACTTACCTGAGTTGACCACAGGTTCAGCTGCTTGAGTGAAGGCAGTTTAATGAGCTGCTCAGCACAAGCACTTGTCACATTGGTAAAGGCTAGGCTGAGGTTTTCCAAATTTCCAAAAGATCCTGAGCTTAGCAAGCAGGCCAGGTCTGCATCCTGAAAGCAAACAAGAGATTGATAAGCAAGATTATTGACTCCTCAGCCTGCAATCTGCAGTGGTGTCACTGATACTGTTAACCAGCAGGAGTTGCACAATTATAAGACTTGTTTACAGTAATAGAGAACCACACAGAGAAGTTTCTGTTTGTTTGGCAAGCAGCTGGGCTCTTGTGGCATTGTTGCTTCACATACCTGGGGGAAAATTTATCCAGACATTAGGACAAAAATTTTCTTTGTGTGTGTATCTTTACAAGACACGAAGGCTTCAGTAGGCCCTTTAACTTAATGAAGATTCCACTGCAAGTTCTAAATCAAAACCATATTCAGGATCATTACTTGGCCTCAGTGAAGTTAGTCTGGTTTTTACACCAGGCTTAACTGTAACAATGATGGGTCTCTTTCAGACTTTCATGTCTAAGAACCAGAACTGGACATTGTGAAGTCTGTTTTTTAATGCAAAATTCTTCCCTCAAATCTACCATTCCAAATCTGCACACCAGTATAAACCTGACAGCCTGATGCTTGGACTTGTGTTGGAAACTGCTGCACAGATCCAAGAGCAGAAATATGCCCTTACTTGTGTAAACTCCAGTTATGGTGACAGAGCAAGTGGCATGGCTCCCCTCTTGACTGACCAAAACCACTGTGCCACATGGCAAACATAAACCAAGTGTTTAAATATGGCAAGATAAAGCTTGTTTTTCTATTGATGTGATTAACTTACTGTGGACTTGGATGGCAGTGTTAACCTTGTGGGACCACCTTTTCTTTGCTGTAAAAGAGAAGATATTTTGTTCAAACAAGTTGCCTTTCTATGCTTCAGACCAACTGAAGTACAGCAAACTCTTCACTAGGGTGAACCCTGCTCTAATTTCAAATCTCCCTGTCAGCCCTTCCACCTTGTCCCTGCTCTTTCTGCACTGACAGATGTTTTCCTGAGTGTGCTAGATGCAGGCCTATTGCTACCCAGGGGACATCCACTAACTGCAGTTAGTGGTCTTCATGCCATGGGTCAGCATTTCGCCTGATTCAGCCTGCCATTACGTGGCTACTTTCACTTTAAACGAAACAGCCTTAAAATGCCGGACTAAGATAGCAAAGGGGTTGAGACTGCACAGTTGATAAAACCATGTGTTAAAAAACACCTTCAAAAAAAAAAGCATATACTTTTCAGGGTGGGAGCAGGGGTTAAAGAAGACAAATATAAATGTGAAAGAGGGAAGATAAAGATTGATAAAGATTGTGGGTATGTTTGCATAGGTGAAAAAGCGCTAATGAAAGCACATCTATCTTCAACCTGTAGATCTTATCATTGGGGGGGGGAGATCTTTTTCTCATAGGCTCTAGTTCTGAGAACTAGACCTAAAAGACCATCTCAGTGAACTGCTGTGAATGTCAAAGCTGGCCAGGACTAGAACCATTTGCTACTCATATGTCAAAAGGTGGCAGAATTTGACAAGCTTACTTTTAAGATCTTAAGACAGCAGGATTTCACCTTTATTCTTTCACACAGAGTCTAAGCAGGTTATTGAATATCATTCATAAACATAGTATGGGATTAGACACGAGTAAATATCACAGTGTATATATTCACAGTAAAATCCACCAAATACTGCTCCCATCCTGTTGTTCGCTGGAAATTTCACACCCTGCTTGTCTTTCTTTTGTATCTCCATTTCTGGAGAGGACAGACCACAATGTGCTATGGCAATACTGCATGCAGGGTGACATACCAGCTCTTTTAACTCCCTCTGCCTGTCACACAGCTGTTCATACATTCTCTTTCCCATGTCCGTGCTTTCCAGGGTAGAGATGATCTGGAGCTGGGTGTCATTATTATCAATGATGTTGTACTCCAGCATCAAACACAAAATCTAGCAGCAGAATGAAAGAAGAATGATCACAGCAGTACTTAGATTCAGTTTCTTCCAAGCATCCTAATTACACTGGGCATGCTAGTTTAAATTACTTGGAGAAGTTCTTAGAGCACACATTATGCAGACTGGATTAGAGGATCATAACAACCTTTGCTGACCTTCCAACACAAGAAACCAATTTTTATTTGTAAAGAATGAACTCTAATGTCTGAAAGTCAGACTATCTATCCTGTCTTCCATTAGTGCTCATTCCTTCTGACTGAGAGGTGCAGTTACTTTGTGTCAGTCCTGGAAGATGGATTCATGCCACAGCCTGCTTCAGAACAGGTACAATCGATCCAGTATTTCCCAGGTACACTGACAAGACTGCAGATTATAGAATCATAGAATAATTAGGGTTGGAAAGGACCTTAAGATCATCAAGTTCCAACCCCCCTGCCATGGGCAGGGACACCTCACACTAAACTGTATCACCCAAGGATCTGTCCAACCTGGTCTTGAACACTCCAAGGGATGGAGCATTCACAGCGTTCCTGGGCAACCTATTCCAGTGCCTCACCACCCTTACAGTAAAGAATTTCTTCCTTATATCCAATCGAAACTTCCCCTGTTTAAGTTTTAACCCGTTACCCCTTGTCCTATCACTACAGTCCCTAATGAAGAGTCCCTCCCCAGCATCCCTATAGGCCCCCTTCAGATACTGGAAGGCTGCTATGAGGTCTCCATGCAGCCTTCTCTTCTCCAGGCTGAACAGCCCCAACTTTCTCAGCCTGTCATCATTCGGGAGGTGCTCCAGGCCCCTGTTCATCCTTGTGGCCCTTCTCTGGCATACTTGGGATATTACACATGAGCAGCAGAGCCAAGCAGTTCCCTAACTGCTGGATTTTCTGTCCCTAAATGCTGGGGTTTCTGGGCAAGCAGAATGCAGGTGAAGTGTATCCTGTCTATGAGGCAGAATGAGGAAAGGTCAGGGAGGCTCTCAGAGAAGGTGATGCTGGGAGCTTGCTGCTATGGCCAGGACACCCTCCATCTCATTGGGAATATGCCTGACTCACCCCTGGGCAAGGGGCTGCCAGGAGCAAGTTAGACACCAGGGAATGATTCTAGTGGGTTGCATGGGCTTCAGACACAAGCTGCCCCCCCCTCATGCTGCCTTGCCTTTTCAGCTACACATCATGCCATTGCAATTAAAATGCAAAGCTATTATTCCCTCCATCATTCTAATTATTTTTAATGAAAAAAATCAAGCAACATTATATTCAAATTCATGCAACACACTTTTATTTACTGGATTAAATTAGCACTCACAGATATAACTTAAGGAAAAATTGTAACTCCTTCCACCTATTTAACCATTCACTATTTCCATGTATGATGGCATTTATCAAGAAACATCTTTAAAGAAACCCAGAAAAATTATGTATAAACTATTAGTGCAACAAAAATAACCAATCATAAGCACAAAAAATGTTTATTAATGTAAGAAAATAAGATTTTGTAAATGCACTACTTATGCACTGCTCATTTTGCAGGTGGCAAGACAAGCATTAGGTATTTAGTCACGGAAAAGCCTTGTGGTTCTGAGTTCTGACCCCCCTCCACAGCCTACATCATCATGGCCATTTATTTCTCATCTTAGCCTCTCCAACTGCATTAGAGCAATCTCTCTCCAAAACTTCTTGCACCCACTTTTCATGTAATACGCACTGACACCTACAGAACAACAATATTCCATTCCACTTAATGAAGAGAAACACAACTGATAGTGTTTGATATGACACAAACCTGAACATGGCTTCTCTATTTCCACTAGACCTAATTCCAGGAAGACAGTGTGAAACCGAATCTGAATACTGCTCGTAAAACATGACCACATATGTTTAGGGCTTACCTTTACCATTGTCTGGTTACCCCTCAAGGCCAGTAGCATGCAAGGTCCTAATTTATTTTCAGCCAGTGAAAGCAGGAACTTCTTTGTTTTATAGCAGGATCCCATTAAAATATGAACCTATTTGAGAAACAGAGCTAAAATTAGAGGTGTAAGCCTAAGAAACACATATACCTCTGGAAGGGACGTTGTTAGGCAGTCAAACAAATACAAGTATTTGTGACAAACCTAAAGAAAAGGGGTCTCTCATTATGATTACGGTTGCAGTCTCTCGACAGCTTTATTGGAAGTGATGCCTAGTGGGATCTGAGGGAGCGGGTAGTTTTCCTCTATGAAGGAGCTCAGCTGACAGCCCAGAGGCCTGATATAGTCTCCCTAGGAAACATCAGAGCAGCTGTGCAATTGCCCCCATCCCTAGTAACATGATAAACTCACCCCCAGGGGAGCCACAGGAGATTTTGTTTTCAATTCAGTTTCTCTGGAAATGCCAGCTGGTGAGCAAGGGTTGTGTGGGCTGGATGTCTAGGTAAAAAGCAGTGGTGCTGGCAATCTGCTGGCTTTTTCACTAGCATCAGTTAAAGGGTGGTGACAGACAAAATCACCTGTTCAGAATGAACAGACAGGAACTGACTAGGAAAGGAAGGAATGTCTTAAGAAAGCAGTCCTGAGCCCTAAGTCAGAGATGACTTCATGCGCTTTTACATGCTCTTGGGTCATTATCTTGCTTTCCCTTTTGCTCAGTTTTCAGTTTTCCCTGAAAGGAAAGAAATGCTGAGAACACTGCCTGAGTAAAAATCTTGAGTCCACTAGCTAACAAAAGTGTCCCACAGACTCCTAGGCTCCAGAAAGCATTGGATGATATCACATAGTAACACCTATGGCAGAAATACAAAGCCACTTATACAAATCAAATGTAAGAGTCTCTTCTCACAAAAGATGTTGGCAATATTCTTTCCCATTTAAAAGCCTTAGAGATTAGCTGCAGAGAATTTCAGTTTCCTAGCTAAAGTCCTATTTTATGGCCCAGACAGCTTCCTGGCAGAGCACTATGTGAGAATTTGTAATTTCCAATGACCTGGGCAGTAAGAGCTCCATTATGTAGACTCAACAGCAGCACTACTTTACAATAAGCTTGTAAACACATTCTGTGGTTCCCCTGGTTCATGGTATTGCCTGGACTATGTTCAATACTGCTGAAAATATTGCAAGCACACCATGGTGGGGTCAGTTCTATGCAGATCATGTGCTGAAATGCAATTCTTCTTCCTCATGGCTTCACGGCCATCAAGACCTTTAGAAAAAAACACAAAATCTTTTTTTCTTAAGCATCCATGAGTTCAGGTGGCCTTTAAAAACAGTAAGCTTCAAGCCAAGAAGGATTTCATTTCATGCAGTTATCATTAAGCTTTTTAGGAGGTTTTCTTGAGTGATGGAAAATACTGACAATACCACTTAATGCAAGGTCCATGTCTGAACAGGATGTTTTTCAAACTTTAAGGTTAGCAGGTAGCAGCTCTTTAAGTATTTATCAACATCCTTACAAAGGGCACAGAGTACTGCATATTGATGTATGTTAGCATTGTGCTCTCATGCATGACATCTCCTGATGCTCATAAGTATCCTGGACCACAAAAGCTCTCAGGAGAAATTATATAGTTCTGAAGAAGTTTTCTTTCCAAATATAAAAGACACAGAACCAGGACATCAGTGAAAAGGGATGAAACCTTTTGTGAACAGTCTTTGTCCATTGTCTGTTTCAAAGGTATCTGATCCATCCATCTGGATTTAAGTGTATAAACAGACATGCATGTTCTTTATGTCCCAAAATGTTCAGCATGGGGGAGATGCAAAAAGTGTAGGTCCCCCTGAAAGTCACTTCACTGTACACCCAACACCCATTTTAAAATTACTAACATTCAAAAAATGTTATTCCCCTTACCAGGGAAAGGAATTAATATAATTACCATCTTATTTGCTATATGGAGAATTAATTCACAGTGAGACCTATGTGACTTGACTCAGGCTGCAGGGGAAGACAGTGGCAGCATCAGTGATTAAAACTTGCTATTTTCTGTCTAGTCTTTCTAAGAGTTACAAAAGAACTACGGGAAATGGAATGCTGGTTTCTAATGTAATTGGGCAGAGAAACTGCTAACATTTTTTTTATATCTATCTATCTATGTATCTATCTATCTATGTATCTATCTATCTATGTATCTATCTATCTATCTATCCTTTGATTAATTCAATATTACTCTTGTTTCTAAATTCCAGGGTAGCCTATAAATGAAAACTATAGGTGTGGATGTGCAGAACACTCTGTCTCCCCTGTCTCCCAGTATTCCATATTCTGAGACACACATACAGACACGCAAACACATGTATTTATAAATACAAAAATACATAAATGCATATGCACATGCATATATATACATGCATGGTTCTGTGCGTTACACTACCAGTGAAAAAAACACACCAAGTTCAAGAGAAAGCTAACATGCTAACCAAATTGTGACTGCAAGGAAGTTCAGTGGATTTGGCAATACAAAGATTTAGATTTCCTGGCGAACACTTGTGGTTTGCAGAACCATGATCTTGATGAATTTTTGACAAAAACAAGTAAGGCTTCTTACTGCCAACTATGCATTAGCTACTTACTACAAAGAAGTTACTAAACTCACAATTTGCAGACACATACCATACTGGCAAACAGCTCTCCATCATCATCACATGCCACTCCTCCAGGGCTGTAGAGCTGGAACCAGCCATCCTTGCCAGCCCGCACACTCAGCAAGCATGAGTGGACCTGCCAAAAAGTGAAGACATTGAGAAGGTTACAGTTCCTGCCAGTAAGCACCAGTATCTCCCACGCTTGGCCAAAAGAAGTCACTACAAAACCAGGGACTGTTAGAAATTCATGGCTAATATTCCAATCTACAGAGCTGCAGGCAAGTCTCCACTCACAAACCCCTTTTTTGCAGTATAAACAAGGAGGGAAGCAGTATCATCGCTCATTGCATGGCCTTTTTAATTCCCTTTACACAAATCAAACACAAAATCACTCTAATCTAGAACAGCTCCTTCAACTTGAAAAATCAAAACAAAAAACAACATCCCCCCAAAAGGAAACAAAAACAAACCACAAATGAAAACAAAACAAAAAGACTCATATTTCTGAGCTTCTGCCAATTTCCCCCCATCCTCCAGCCATGTGTGTCTATACTTCGATGTGATCTGCACACCAAATGCAGTGGCTAACAGCTTGCTCTTTCCAGTCATTAAAAATTCTTATTACTCCTGCTATCATAAAATGTGACCAGAGTCAGGGTGAAGGAAATCCACAAGGAAAATTTAACAGGGATATATAAGACAGAAGTTGCACAGAAGAACTGGCATCAGTGAGCTACCATTAGTCTAAATTTTGCCCACTGTGGAGATTAATGTATCTGTTTCCACAGTTTAATACAGGAGTCATAATTAAGTTTTTTTTCCAGCTGCCGATGTTGAACAAACTACACGTGCAGCTATGAAGCAGTCAGCCACCATGAGGCTACAGCTACGCACTCTTTACAGTAAAACACCTCTGTGTCAGGGACAATAGATAATGGTCCGTGGTGAAATGCACAAAGATAGAAAATTACTGTTTGTCTGCTTTGGCTCCTCCCTGGAGAGTCCTGCTTTGGCTGCTCTCCAGAAGGTCCAGCTTTGGTTCCTACCCAAAAAGTGCCGCTTTAGAACTCCCCAAAAAAGTCTCGACCCTTGGAGACTTTTCTAGATATTGCTAGCCACTTCTTCTGATGTAGGCTGGCCCCCTGCATTGCAATGAGTGTGCATTTTTGTCAGTATAAAAGCCTGAGACTCATGCAATGCGGGGGAGGCAGAACCTCATACTACCCAGGTCAACATTGCATCCACGGGGATGCCCGCTAAGGTTGAGCCTACCACCTCGCACTGCGATGATGATTCTCAGAGCTGGTTTCCTGATCGTCTTCACAGGGTCCTTGGGGTTGGTAAGATAACCAAACATCAGAAGTATCCTTTACTGTATCCTTTACTATCTCTGTATTTTCCTATAATAATAAACTAGTTGTGAGTTCTCTATATGTCTCTCGTTTTCTCTTACCTGGAATTCTCAAACTCCGGAATAACCTCCCACCCCCTTTCTCCTGCTAATTCATGGGAATTATGACCATTTGCACACAATGTGACTGAAAAGAAGCTAAATAAAGCCTGTTATTTCATAAGCTGTAAGGATCCATGGATTTTGTTTTCCTTATTATTTTGTTTTGTACAGAAGATGAAAAGCTCTGAGAGATTCAGAATGGGAAAATCTTGCTGGTTGCAGTTTACTGCAGAGGAAGGACTTCAACTGATGCCAGACAAGGAGGTCACAACACATGTTTACACATAAGGCAAGAAACCATCCCTGTTAACACCGTGTGCCCTGAATGGCTATTACTCCCTAAGAGACTTAAGCACAACAAAGCCACACCATGTTTTGAAACAAACTACTGGAGGAGAGAGCTTCTGAACAAGTGTACTTGCAACTCCTCAAATCAATACTCTGTGTAACCTGTCAATAGACTTACTTCTTGCCTCAGGTCTTCTGCAAATCTCTGAATCACATATTTCAGCTCCCTGGGGAAAAAAAAAAATTAAAAGGACAAGAATAAGCAGTTGCTGGTTGCAGTATTCATGCAAGTGTCACATTGGCTGGATGGCCACACAGAGAGAGTTGTAGTCACCAGCTCAATATCCACTCAATGTCCAATGATGGGTAATGAGTGGCGTCCCTCAGGGATCAGTGTTGGGACCGATCCTGTCCAACATCTTTGTCAGCAATGTGGACAGTAGGATTGAGTGCAACCTCATCAAGTTTGCTAACGATGCTAAGGCGTGTGGTTCAGTTGATACACCGGAGGGAAGGGATGCCATCCAGAGGGACCTTGACATGCTTGACAGGTGGCCAATGCCAACCGCATTAAGTTAAAGCAAGCCAAGCACAAGGTCCAACACATGGGTTGAGGCAATCCTAGGCACAGCTACATGTTGAGCAGAGAAGAGATTCAGAGCAGTCCTGCAGAGAAGGACTTGAGGGTGTTGACGAGAAACTTAACATGATCTGGCAGTGTGAGCTCATAGCCCAGAAAGCCAGCAGTATCCTGGGCAGGAATAACCCAGACTGTCTTCCCCAGCAAATTCTTCATATGCACCATAGGAATTTTGCCCCCCTCTATAATATGTAAAAGTTCTGACTGGGCTGGTCCAGCCCTGTTGGCAGATCCTCTGGTGTTGTCCAACCAGGCGGCCTTTGGTGTGTATCCGAAATCTTTGCCCTCTGGCCAGTCCATGATGACTTCTAGAATGCCTGGACGACTGAGATTTCCTATTGGAGTTCGTTGTGTAATTAGTGCAGCCCATTTACTCCATGTAGCATCAGTTGCATCATGTGTAGAGGAGACCCTGCCTTTGAACATCCAGCCCAGCATGGGCAACTGGGGTGCCAGGAGGAGCTGTGCTTCAGTGCCAATCACTTCCGAAGCAGCTCAAACTCCTTCATAGGCTGCCAGTATCTCTTTCTCAGTTGGGGCATAGCTGGCCTCAGATTCTTTGTATCCCCGACTCCAAAGGTGAGGGGTCGACCTCGAGTCTCCCCTGGAGCTTTCTGCCAGAGGCTCCAGGTAGGACCATTCTCCCCAGCTGCAGTGTACAGTACATTTTTTACATCTGGACAGGTCCAAGGGCTACTGCGTGATCTATCTCGCGTTTAATTTGCTCAAAGGCTTCTTGTTGCTCAGGGCCCCATTTAAAATCATTCTTCTTCCGGGTCACATGATAAAGAGAGCTTACAATCGAACTGTACTTTGGGATGTGCAGTCTCCAGAACCCCACTGCCCCCAAGAAAGCTTGCGTTTCTTTCTTATTAGTTGGTGGAGACATTGCTGTTATCTTGTTGATCACATCTGTGGGGATCTGTCTACGTCCATCTTGCCATTTTATTCCCAAAAATTGAATCTCCTGTGCAGGTCCCTTGACCTTACTCCATTTTAGGTTGAAATAGGCTTTCAGCAGGATTTGGATTATTTTCCTCCCTTTCTCAAAGACTTCTTCCACTGTATCGCCCCACACAATAAAGTTATCAATGCATTGCAGGTATTCTGGAGCTTGCCCCTGTTCCAGTGCAGTCTGGGTCAGTCCATAGTAGATGGTAGGGCTGTGTTTCCACCCCTGGGGCAGTCGGTTCCAAGTGAACTGGACACCCCTCCAAGTAAAAGCAAACTTTATGCCTGCACCCTCCTGCCAAGCCTAGTCCTATGCCAGTAGCTCCCAGAGGGACAGCAAGGAGCCCTGCAGTGCCCTGTTCCTTCTCTGTCTCCTCTAACTTCTTGTCCCTGGGGGACCTGCCCTTCCCAGCCACCTCCTGGAGTCCCCAGGAGTGCTTAGTTGTTCCTTCCCCACTCCCGGAGTGGGGGGTGGAAGTTTCAGTTTCAGTTCTGTTTCAGGGGGTCTACAAGGATGCTGGAGAGGGACTCTTCATTAGGGACTGTAGCAATAGGACAAGGGGTAATTGGTTAAAACTTAAACAGGGGAAGTTCAGGTTAGATATGAGGAAGCAGTTCTTTGCTGTGAGGGTGGTGAGACACTGGAACAGGTTGCCCAAAGAAGTGGTAAATGCTCCATCCCTGGCAGTGTTCAAAGCCAGTTTGGATGGAGTCTTGGGTGACATGGTTTAGTGTGTGGTGTCCCTGCCTATGGAAGGGGTGTTGGAACTAGATGACCTTAAGGTTCTTTCTGATCCTAACTATTCTATGATTCTATGATTACACCTTAAACAATAAATATGCATGCACTTCAGAGAGAAACAAGTTGAATTGCTTCCACAAGAAGCAAATGTGAGGTCTAAAAGTGATTACCAAGTACAGCGTATATTCACAATAGCCTAGAAAAGTTTTCAGAGACGTTCAGAGACAAACATGTTTGTAAATCCTATCAGCACACAGTGCCTTTAGTCCTTGGGATCATGCTGTCACAGTAAATTACAAAGAAAATTACATCCTTTTATTACTAACAGAATGTGCTTACAGCCCCTCACAGGTAAAAAATATTAGAGACACATTATTGAGTAATGTACCACTTCTATTACTTACTAGTACAAATATTTTAAGTAATTACCCTCCTTCAATAAAACAAACAAGCCCCAAAAACTTACTTTGTGAATTTCTTGTGTGCAAGAGTCCTGAAATTTAAAACAGAAGAGTGTGAGGATTTGGAAGAAGGAGGGGAGAAGAGGAAAAGAAAAAGAAGAAAAAACAAAGCAAACCGAAACACAACCACTTTCCACATAATAAAAGGATTTGCTAAGCAACTGCAGCACACAAGACAAGAATAATAATCTTTCCCAAAAGATCAGGTAACAGGTAAAGTTTCTTGCATTAATTGGGGGGGGGGGGGGAAGGGGGAATGAATGAAAAACAAAATATCATTTGGAACAAATCTTGTAGTTTTTCCTGAGTCCTGTCTAAAGACTTTAACATCAGTGAAAGCTCTGAGTCAGAAAGAAGTAGAAGACTCACAATAGAATGATATCATTACAAACAGAATTTTGGCTACCTAGAAGTCAGGTGAATTCTTTAATTACAGTGCAATTAAGGTGTGGTCACAACTAATTAACATCATGCATTAATAAAGCAATCAACAGTCATTCTGTGAAGTGCTTTGAGTTGTGGTATGTTTTACACTTTCCCCAGGACACATGTTTGACTTAGGTAAATGTCTCTGTTGCCTATCTCCAAGTTCTTGTTGTAACCCAGGTAACCTGGCATGGAGGATTAGACCTCTCTGATTTAAGACATCAGCTCATTAGGGGATGTGATAAACTAATAAATTGTACAATTACAGGTTGTAATGTTTGTCCACAGAGGTCTGCATTTTATAAGCACTACTATTCAGTAATAGGTTTCCAAGGAAGCTTGGCTGATCTGTAGGTTAGCTTCTTCATTTAATGCAAAATACAAATGATATGAGTCTCTGTGACACCAGTAAAGCATCCTCCTCCACTAAATCACTCACTTCACTCTTCTTCACACCAGCTTTCCTTCCTTTACTGTCTGCTTGTCTGCAGTTAACCATTTTTCTCTTCAGGATCATCTTAATAGAAATGGTGGAAGAAGATAAAGATGTCCCTCTGCCTCAGCCAAAATCAACTTTCAATTTTAAATCAATACTAGAGGCACAAAGCTTCTATTACCATCAATTTTTGCTTGATGTTATATTTCACCATAAAACAACAGTAACAAGAATAATCCAGTAAATACTAAGTGAGTGGAAACTTACTCCTTGGGAAATGGGATAGGTTGAAGCAAGCTGGCCAGGGCTAGTCTCCAGTCATCATAATCTGACCTGAAAAATTAACATTTTGTTAACAGGCTACCAAGTTTTAAATATGGTTTATCAACAGTTAGTTCAAGGAGTTATAAACTTCTTAGTGTAGGCACCAACAACCCTTCTGTTTTACTAAGACACTCAAAAACCCCGCAGTGACATTTCCCTTTCTATTTTCAGCACATTCTCCACTGAGGAACAATAAATCTGGTATTTACAATGACCTCCAGAGAGGCCTTCCTTATGTCAGCTTAAAGACATTTGCTGTTTATGAAACCTATTGACATTTAATCACTAAGTAATACTTTCATCTAAGTTGGTACAGCAATTACCAGGCCATTGCTATTCACAGCTCTGCTCTGCATTTAATTGGAATTTTTATTTTTTGTTTGGTTTTGCTATAAGACATAAGCTCATTTGTAAAAACAAAGGCATCCTCCCCAATCCATTTTGACCTTGGCACAAAGGAATGGGTCAATTTAAACAGTACAAAGTCTTTAGCTTAAGAGGAGAGACTAGAGAAGGAAGCACTGTGAAAATTATTAGGAGTGAAAGAGGATAAATGAGAATAAGCACAGGCCAGTGGACCCAGTATGAAGTGTCTCTCCTCTGCTGTGTTAGCACCACAGTTCCCAGCTGATGCGTTTTGTTTTTATCTCTGCTGTCAATATACAGACCTGTCCTTCTATGAGGAGGCATCCATAAGGGGATGCTCATGTGAACTAGGATAAAGAGAACATTTTGCATGCGTTTTTCAGTGCAAACTAAACTGGCAGCATATCATCTCAATCTACCTGCAAAATACCAGCTGCTTGAGCACATGTGGTGGAGCAGTACGGCTTCTTGTGCAGGAATGGCACTTTGCACACTGCCACCTCTCTCCTTTAAATTATCTCAAACATTTAGTGGTTAGTTAGCACTAATTAACTGCCCTACCAATTCACTTCACGAAGGGTACAATCATTGTAGGATGGATGAAGAACACAGAAGATAAAAGAATTGGGCAAGTCAGAACCAAAACAGGGCACAGAACCCACCAGCCAAAACCCAGATCCCAACACCACCTGCGAGGCCATTATCACTCCATGTGTACTCACTACTATTGAGTACACATGGAAGTAAGAGTAGTAAATCTCATGGGGTAAAGCACCTTAGGATATCTGTAGAAGACAATGTAGAAGACCCTACCATCCCCTCTTACTGCTGCTACCCTTTGGATTTCAGTTTTAAAAAACAGATTATTGGTTGCAGCTTACTGCAAACTTGGCACAAAAGTATGGTGTTTCTTTAGGAAGGGTGATGTTCTCAAATGGACAGTAACTACTGATAGCATTAGGAATAGACAGTATATGCACAGGAACCATTCCAAAATAATTATGGTTTTTTTGCAAAGAGAAGATTCTAGCCCAAAGAAACTGAAGATGGATGCATTTCCAGAAGTCTCATCCATTTATTGAACCACATAAAGCAGAAAGTTCTATAAACTAATAATACACATTATGTTGTACAGTCCTCAATGGCATGTTCATGGACACAAAGAATACTTATGTGCATGAGTAGGGTATTCTTAAGAAGCAACATCAGTGCTGATGTTTGGGTCCTCAAAGAACTGACAAGTCTAATGAACAGTCTTTTTTGTTTTTTTTTTAATATGCTTATCCTCTGGGAATTCCTACTAAACCAGTGGCTGATTTTACTCTAAAACCAACACATTTTTATTGATAGATGCAAACAACTTTAAGAACAGATTTTTGAGCAGGAGAGAAAAGGCTGAGTTAGGAAATTTGAAGGTGTTAAAGGCGTTTCACATCACATGAGATACAGTACCTACAAATCTTTCCTAGCAGAAGCTTAAAAGCTGAGACCCACTTGGAGGTTTAGTTCCTGTGACATCTCAGGTTAAGTGTTACACCACTAAAATTCCTCCTTGAGCAATCTGTGGAGTTGTGATTAGTAATAATGTGAACCAATCAATTTTTCATGGCTGATGTTCAAAGGAAATTTCAAGAGGAAGAAAAAAGCTGCTTTGTAATAGACTAAGACCAAGTGAAACTGCAGACAGAACTGGACAGCATCACACTCTGACTTTTCTTGAAGTGGGAGTTATATATGGCATCCATTTGCAGAGCAGGTCTGTGAGAGGACAGTGAAAATAAACTATAGCCTGTTTTCCTAGGAGGAGAAGAAAACCATGTCCTATGAAATATATAGTTTGGTCACATGAATGGGACCCAAACATGAAACCTACACAGCCTATAATCCCTTCAATCTGAGCTAGTAAACATGAAAAAAACATGGCACAAGAATAAAACTAAACTGCTTATTAAAAGCTTATGGTGTTTCTCCTCCTCCCTATTCCCTTTTCAAAATCATCTTCCTTCTGTCTGTGCTCATCTCATCTGCACTCTTCTTTCACTTCAGACAGTCACTTTTTTCTTTTTTGGTTTTGTTTTTCAATACATTCAAAACTCTAATACAAGACAGAAGTGTTTGGAGCGGGGAAAGAAAGGGAGATAGATTAGCTCTGGCTGCAAGTAACAGGCACTGCAATGAGCCAGACAAAGAGGGCATGCCAGGAAGAGGAGGGAGCACCTGTGACAAACTCCTTTGGAGCTCTTCAAAGGTTGCTGGGCTGAACGCTCATGCTCATCACACAACATAAATCCCAGGACTGGACTTATAAAAGCAGAGGGGGAGAATGATTTCTTGATTTACTCACTGGCTCTGAGTTTTGCAGGATTTGCACTTTTAGGTGAGCAGCACAGTGTGCTGGGCTGGGGGTCAGGGTACCAGGAGCGTGAAGGCTGTCAGAGCAGTTGCTTGCTGCTACACATAGATTTACTTGCCCAAAAACCTTTTTTAGGGGTGTCCTAGGTTCAGCAGTAGCAGTCATGTTTCTTCTTCTTGGTAGCTGGGGCAGTGCTGTGTTTTGACTTTCGGCCTGGGAACAGAGCTGATAGCGATGTTTTGGTTTGGCCAAGGACTTTGTGAGCCTCATGCTCTGCCAGGGAGGAGGGGAAGCCAGGAGGAAGCAGAGACAGGACACCTGACCCAAACTGACCAAAGAGGTATTCCATAGCACAGCACGTCATGCCCAGGATGTAACTGGGAGTTAGCTGGAAGGGCTGGGAGACTGCAGGGTTGGAGGAGGTATGGGTCGGTGCTTGGTCGGGCTTGGGGGGTGAGTTATCAGTTGGCTGGTGGTGAGGTGTTGTATTCTCTTCCCTGGTTATTTCCTTTATCACTGTTATCATTGGTGGTAGCAGTAGTGATTTGTGTTATACCTTAGTTACTAAACTGTTCTTATCTCAACCCGTGGGAGTTGCATTCTTTTTGACTCACGCGGGAGCAGGGGAAGAGCAAGAAGGGGGGGGGGGGGTAAGTGAATGAACGAATTGCCTGACTGGGTTCAAACCACGACAAGGGGAAAGTAAGAACATTGGCCAAACATAATAATTAAATAATCCGCAAACACTGTGACTTTAGGCCATTGCCGCTACTGGCTTGCGTCGTGGTTTAAACCCTAGCCAGAAAGCTTGTTCACTCACTCCCAGTGAGTGGTGCCAGGCTGGAAGCAATTGAGGCCCCCCCCCCCCCCCCCCCCCCAGGGGCTATCCCCTTCCCCACTCCCAGAGGGATGGGGAGGAGAATTGAAAGAGTGCAACTCCCACGGGTTGAGACAAGAACAGTCCAGCAAACAATGTACAACACAAATCACGACCGCTACCAGCAACGACAACAATGATAGAGAAAATAACAAGGGAAGAGAATACAATACCATGCGCCGAGAAATGAGTCCAACCCAGAGAACCCTGTGTCCTTCCGGGTAACTCCCAGTAACCCCTCCAGGCATGACGTGCTCTGCTATGGAATACCTCTTTGACTAGCTTGGGTCAGGTGCCATGTCTCAGCTTCCTCCTGGATTCCCCTCCTCCCTGGCAGAGCATGAGCCTCACAAAGTCCTTGGTCAGGGTAAACATCACTTAGCAACAACCGAAAAAATCGGTATCAGCAACACTGTTCCCAGACTGAAAGACAAAACACAGCGCCGCACCAGCTACCAAGAAGGAGAAAAATTGACTGCTACTCCTAAACCCAGGACAGTATCCACTCCTTATTCCATACCATTCACGTCATGCTCAGATCCCACATTTTCAATATACCATCGCTGTCCCATATATATACATCCATATGCACACAGACCAAGAGAAAGAGATTATTTTCTTAGTGCATGGACCAATCCCTATAATGCTGCCAAGTCCATTCGATCCATGATGTCAGGTTCCATCTCTTGTAACAATCTTTCAGGGCAGGAAAGGCTGTGTGCAGTATTGGATCGTTGCCTGCTGATGCTGGTCGTTCCTTTACTGCAGAACTCGTCCGGTTCTATCAAAGTTCATTCTCTGTTGGGATGATGGTTGGAGGGAAGTCAGGGCTAGTCGCTGGTGACCTGAAGACATCTAGTTGATGGACTATAAAAGTATTACACATCAGGCAACAGCATACAATTAAGATCATTGGCTGTTTTCCCCTAAAATCAAAAACCCTTGAGGTATACATCGGTGTCGTGGTTTAAACCCAGTCAGGTAACTTGTTCACTCACTCCCAGTGAGTGGTGCCGAGCTGACAACAATCGAGGCCCGTGTCCCCCCCCCACCGGGGTTCTCCCCCACTCCCAGAGGAACGGGGAGGAGGATTGAAAAAAGTGCAACTCCCACGGGTTGAGACAAGAACAGTCCAGCAACCAATGTACACAAATCACCACCGCAACTATCAACTACAACAATGATAAGGGAAAATAACAAGGGAAGAGAATATGATACCACTGGCCAAGAAAACGAGTTCCACCCGGAAGCCCGTGTCCTTCCGGGTAACTCCCAGTTACCCCCCACCCCGGGCATGACGTGCTGTGGTATGGAATACCTCCCCGGCTAGCCCGGGTCAGACGCCCCGTCTCTGCTTCCTCCCGGCTTCCCCTCCTCCCTGGCAGAGCATGAGCCTCACAAAGTCCTTGGTCA